CAAAACAAACAGAATAGCCCTTAATATGCTTTATTCTCTTCCTGTATTTCACTACTAAAAAATACGGGGATTGGTCTGCATGAAAAGGAAGGGATGCAGTTTATGAAAAAGGTGGTTTCCTTTCCAGTCCTTATTTTTGTCCTTGTAACTTTTCTTTTGCCTTCCAAAAAGTTAGTGTAATCTTTTTCCTCTAAGCAATCATTTTTACCCCTTTTCTCTGGAGGCAAGATTGGACATTGGATGGCAATTAATAATTGTTCTAACTATCTGTGACTTTTTAAGCTTGTAAAAGTTAAAGAGAGGATATGGTAAATACCTATCATGGAGTGACTTTCATTTCAGCTTGGACTAACTTGCATTTGAGGCAATGAGGTTATCAGTCATGTTAGCTCAAGTAAATTGGGATATGACACTGGACACATGAACAACACCTCCATGAAAAATCTTAGTACTCAGCTGTTTCATATCAGGGTAGGCTGGCTTTCAAGTAACCTAAACCCATTTGGATTAGGCCATGAAACTCACTGGCATCCAGTGAAGCTCATATAAACTCCTCTAGCTGTGTTCTTCCGGAAAGAACTGAAGGAACTGTACCTTCATTCTGACCTATGCTAGGCATCCTAGAAGGTTGCCATGGCTGAGGATATCAAAGGCCACTGAAGGATCCAAGAGAACTACCAGGGTTGTTCACCACATGTGTTTTCCATTGTGCAAATCATCCATCAAGGTAAACAAGGCTTATGTTCCAAAACCAGGTTAAAACCAGATTGGAACTGATTCAATTAGCCGGTTTTGTCAACCAGTTTACACTGATTGAGCAACCAGTGCACTGTACACTGTATTACCCACCAATTCAGACAGTTGTTAAAATCCAGAAAAGGCATGGATCCGTAAAGCACACGATGAATTTCAGTCTGCTAAACACTGTGTTAGCATTGTCATGCTGCACAAGCTGAAATCTGTCCGAAACAACACGGTGATGGAATCATGGCTTTACCCGCTTTGACCCTGTCAGAGCAATGGCGTCCAGTTCAGAACAAATGTAAATGCTTTTGTATGCGAAAAGCAGCACAAATGCATCATACTGAGCCACTGAAGAGTTTCTTTTTCAAGTGTTGATTCTCGCTGTGAGAGAAAGATTGTGCTGTGAGTGATCTGGCTGGCAGAGAGAAATAGTTTTGTGTGAAGTGGGTTTCCAATTTAGCAGAAAACTCTAGGTTGAGATGAAGTCTGAGACCCAACACCCACAACCACTCATTTCTGCCTTGTACTCAGGTGTTTGGGGCTATGTTATCTGTTCTTTAGCGTCTCTGGTTTGACTTCTGAGAAATGAGTATTTTGTGACTGGCCATATCCTCTATGGCACCAATTTTGGAATGGTCATTTCTGTATGTAGGCATGCGTGTATGTATCTATATTATAAACAGCTTGTCTGGATCAAGTCCACACAAGTTGATGAACAAGAGTTTAAAATGATAATAACCACATTTTAAGAATTAAAATTAAATTCTTTAAAACATAGTGCAGTCAGTCAAAAGACATTTCCAGAACTATTGCAATAAAACACGATGAACATTTTGTGATGGCACCTGTAACACTCAAGTCTGAATGTGCGCACCAGCTCAAAGGTGAGAGAGAGCTCAGGCCTAGTGCAGTCTGCACAAGCAGCAGAGTATCTTGGGCTTGTGCAGTTTCCTCATGCCAGCTTTGGTGCAATCATGAAGAAGAGATTGGAATCTGTTGCCTCCATCATCAACTAATCATGGTTACTCGTTATGTCTAAACCTGGAGAAACTGAGTTACCTTAACTGTGACCAGAGAAAACTGCTTCAAACCATAGTTAATGCTTTTAGCTGGTTTCTTTAAACCATGCTTAGTGATAATCACAGTTCTTTGTTAGGGCATTAGGAGTGACTGCTAGAAACTCTTCCTTTGAATTATTTCAGTCTGTTTATGGTAAGCATAACTATAGGTAAAATCTAATAAGGTGCTTATGTCCTCTCCAATTCTCTTATATCCTGCCAAATCTGTTATAGGTGTCACCTGCTGCTTGTACAATGGTGAACCATTACATTCAAAAAGAGTGGAGGTGCTTGCTTCTAGAAAGAGGCAGGCTATCAACGCTTATGTAAAGGAATTCCCCCAATCTGCCTCTTTCCAGAAATGAGTGTTTCTGCTTGATTTCATGCTTCTCCCAGGAAGTGCTAAATCTTCCTTTCACAAGCAGTGGGTCCTGCCTGGAAAATGAAATTAACAGGACTTACTACTTCTGGGAGGGAATTGGTGGTTTTGAAAGGAATTGGCAGGGGATGAGCATCCCATGGGATTCTGCAGTATGTCTGCATCCAACACTTTGTAAGTAATACTCCTTTTAGTTGTACAGCAACATGTTTTACAGAGCAGTTTTGTGCCTTCTATTCAGAAAGAAGCCTCACCATAGGACTGCAGACTAAGTGGCAAATTTGCACCAGGGTTGGAAATGTATGAAGAGGTATCAGTGTGAAACTATTCAAATCATTATTATTATTATTAGAACATTTCTATGCCGCCCCTTGCCGAAGCCTCGGGGCGGCTTACAACACAATAAAATACAATACAATACAAAAATAATATAAAATTAAAATTAATAATATAAAATAAATAAATAAAAATATAAACGATATAAAAGAAGTTATAAAAGAAAAGTTATAAAAGAAAAGAAGAAAAGGAAAGAAAAGAAGTCGCCCTGGCCAGATGAATAAGTGAATATTGTTAACAATTAAAATGACGTTTAAATAAAAAGGTCTTCACCTGGCGCCGAAAAACAAATAACGACGGCGCCAGGTGGACCTCTCTGGGGAGCACATTCCATAGATTGTGGATGATTCCATCATCATTTTCCTTGCTGATTTAGATTGACCCAGTCTAATAGGCATGCTATTTGCTTATGGTACATGGATACATCATATTTCCTAGAACTGGTGTGGACATATTTCAGGTTTGTAGGAACTACTTGGGATTTTTAAAAATTGAAACTACACAACCCACCATTTGAAACCTGGTGCTAGACATACACTTAGAATTAAAGAATTCTGACCTGAGTGATTTATTTTGAGCACCAAAACTAAATGGAACTCAAAGTCGTCCTATGCAAAAACCCACTCCTCTTTACTCCAAACTTTCCATTTCAGCAATGTAAATTATTGTCTAGGTGGAGGTGTTAATTTGTCTCTGCCATTGTGAAAGTATTGGGAGTCAGAAACCATTGCAGATTTACTGTAAATTACCCTGAGATGCATCTTCCCTACTATAATCAGAATCAGACGTAGCAGTGTGAAAATATTACATGTTAGGAAAACAAAAAAATAGTACCCCAAGATAAAGACTGCAGAAATAAATACCCTGCAGGCAATGGTGATATTAGCTACTGTTTCATAAGAAAATCTTTACTGAGAAGATAATATTGTCTGCAAGAATACAATTTTGCAATCTTGTTATGTGTTTTAGGTTTGAAAGCTTTCTCTGAGTAGTTGATGGAGTAGGGATACTATGAGCTATACACTAAAATTTATACACTGTTGATCAGGGGTCTGCATAAACAGTATCTTTGGGGCTGTAGATTTTTGTAAGAAATGTTGCCAAATAGCCTGCATGGAAGTATGTGTCCATATCTTGTGTATAGTGTGTAATTTCTAGGAAAAAGGGTGAATGGAAAAGGGGATATGCAGGGTTTATATTTTGCCCTTGCCATGGTTGCTTGGGAAAGCTGCTTTTGATCTGCCCCGTTTTCATGGTTTCCTGTCAGGTATAGCAAGTTTTACTTAGAATAGGGGCAGTGACTTCTGAATTGGTATTGTTGCAATTCTGCACTTCTGTAAACTGCTGCCCAAAACAACCTTTGGATTCCACACTGTTGGTAGTAGAGGTTGTAGTTTGCCTCATGAAGCCAGAAAAGAGTTATTGCAAATGAGAATTATGTATAATTTTAATGTCAACTTTTTATTTTTTAATAGTTATTCTGTATACAAGGTAATTAACCCAACAAGACTACACATATCTGACAGCCATAAGTATGCCCTTGTGAAAGACTGACCAAAAAGAAAAAAAAGTAGCATAACTTGCTGGTGCTGAAAAAATAATACGAAAAACATAGCACCAATTGCAATTTTTTTGTGGCTACGATTTTTTGAAGGCAGCAAACAAAAAGGAGTAGCAGTTGGAGTTAGGAGGGGATAAGAAAGGCTCTGGTGTAGAGGATCCTGGGAGCTAGAGGACTGAAAGGGAACCTGGGGGAAAGAGACCAGGACAGCTTACCCTGCATCTCATTTGCCTGGTGAACTGTGGGTTTTTCAGTGAATGACCAACTTATTGCAGCTTATTTGCAGGGTGGCTTCACATGATGTGTGAACCTGCCCAGGATATAGTAGAGGTGGCCACATTCTGGCCTTCACCTGCAGAAAGATCTTCTGACAGTGGGGTAGAAGCTATGGGAAGTGCACCATCTGGGAAGCTACCTCACTGGTTTAGGTCTGTGGATGGGATGGTAAATCTTCACTCGTGCCCCTTCCCCATTTAAAATTGCTCTGTGATTTGATTTTATGCTGTGCATCAATTTCTGGAATGTGTCTCTCGCAGGGTGTTTTGGGTTCCATTAGAGTAAGGTAAAGTGACTTAGAAGAACTTGGATTTATTTAAATTGATACCCAGTGAAGCCCCCAAGGTGATTAACAAAATTGATAATCAGCTTAAAATAACAAGCAATCAAAAGACCAAACAAGGAAGAAAGTATTAGCAGCAGCAGTTTCAACATGAAAGGGTTGGGAAAATTAATGACAGCTAGGACTGCCAACAAACCAGTATGATCTTTTCAAAGCTTATAAACCTAATATATATTTCCAGTTCTTCCCATAGAAGCACACTGCAAAAGCAAACTTGGGTTCCCAAAGAGAAAATTAGCACTGCTGTGTTACAACCTGCATTTTCTTTATATGCACAAATCACTAAATGTCTTGTGTTAACAGATGATGACTTTGATCAGTTTGATAAGCCTGGTGCAGAAAGATCCTGGAGGAGGAGAACTGGAGATGATGACTGGGACAGGTGAGACATTTTTCATGTTCGGATGCTTTATATGGAATCCGTTTTGCTTTCTTGTGTATCTGTTTTGTATGCTGCTTTTTTTGTTTTGTTTTAGAAGTGCAAATTCAGACACTAATGAAGTCCTCAACCTTCTATATGCATGTCAAATGTTCCTTTGTGGGGAAACTTATACCTGCTATAAAGAGCTCCCAGCAATGTGTGTGTGTTGCGAGGAGCCGTCTTCAGTCTAAGGGAAGAGTTTCACAAACTTTCTGGGTTCTGCTGATTGGTGAGGCCAAAGCAAAAACTGGAATTTGGCCAATATAAAAGTGGCAGGTCCACCCCATGCTCTTTTGTACATTTATATATAAACATCTGCAAGCATTTATAGATTTTCTACACACTAATAGATAGACTTTCACTCTTACCTCAAAGTTGGCACTTTGGGAAGCTTTTTAAATTGCGGATGGACTTTAGGGTGAATGACGAGGTCTCGCAAGCCATACCTGTCCTGTGTAAGTCATAATATAATGAAGAGTAACACACAAAAGGTTGGCAGCAGTTGCAGCTGGCTTCTTAGCAAAATGCAAGTTGGCTTCTTTTCAAAATAGACAACTCTATGGGAAAAAAATCTATTTTGTTGGACGCATAACATATTTATTTTGAATAGCAACACATAGCTTACTGCTTTAGCCTTTAATTCTTTCTTGGGTTCAAATTAGCTATGTCTAGTTGTTTTGGGGGTGTGGGGCAGGCAGGTGCTATGATCAGAAATAAAGAGACCTGGAAGCTGTCACTGTCTTCTTCTCTAGCTGTTGTGATGTAAGCAGAGGCCTAAGCAAGGCAGGCTGGATGGAACAGTGTTGCTGTTTTCATTGCCACATGCAACTGCTTGAACAGGAAGCACATTATAATGGGAACTGATACATTAGAAAGCTTATGGCTATTTTAAAGATGTATATGATGCCATTTAAGTACAAGCAATCAAACAAGAGTTAAAAAAGAAGAAAGCATACCATTAAACACACTTGTGTGTGTTATATAAGGCTGGGAAAATGGGTTGCTTCCCTAGTGTTAAAAAGACTTTGGCTCTAATATTAGGTGAACCTCCCTGAGAAGACCATTCTGCAAGCTGGGTGCATTTATTTATTTAAAATGTTTATATGCCATCCAATACCACAGTCTCTGGACAGCTTACAAAAAACAACATACCAGCTAAACAACATGCTGCAATTGACCCTTAGTGATAAAATCAAAGATAAAACCAATTAAATATTAAAATGTTGGGAAAATAAGGAGAAGAATAAAGCGACGGTGCCAGGCGAACCTCTCTGGGGAGCATGTTCCAAAATTGGGGCACCACCACTGAAAAGGCCCTTCTCTGGGTAGCTACTCCTAATTTCCTTCACAAAGAGGGCTCCCAGAGAAGGATCTCTGCCTCAGCTATCACTTAGACTGCTCTGTCCCCAGCATCCAGCCCTGCCCGTCAGATGGCAGGGGCACTATTTGAGGAGGATGGTATTGGTGAACAGACATAGTCAAGTGACCCATTGCTGCTATATGCTGCCCTTTTCCTATGCCTTCCTGGATCCTATACTTCCTATGCCTTCTTCTTGCCAGCCTTTCTGGATCAGTGCAAATTTGAAAAGTTGCTATGGACACAAAACATGGGTTCTACGCAAAATGTGGCTGGTCACATAGTAGCTGCTGTGGGGTTCTGCCTAGTGAAAAGGTGCATAGATCATCCAAGAAAAAGAGTAAAGCTGGACATGGTCTGAATTTCATAGCCAATCCACAGATTAGCACAGCAAGGTACCTTCTTGTGGGATTCCGTGAAGTGCAGTGGGCTTTACTTCTGAGCAGGCCTGATTTTTCTATTCATCTAAGCTAGAGGTTGGGTAGAGCAAGAAGAAGGAGCAAGAGAAGGGTGAGAGAGAGAAAGCAAGGCTAGCAACTTGGAGGAAGGGGGAAGTAGGAGAGGAACAAGTGAGACTAGCAGCTAGAATGGCAAAAAATAGCAAGGTTGAGTGGTGGGGGAGAGAAATAATGAGGCTAAAAGCTGGGAGGAAGGGAGAAATAGCCAGTTAGAGAGTAGGGAGAGAGAATGACAAACTGGATAGTCAAGAGAAGGAGTGAGACTGGGATTAGAGGAAATGAGCAAAGGGAAAAGGACAGCACAGGTAGGAGAAAATTGGGCAGGACCAGAAATCCATGTTTCTTCATCTTTCTGCTTGCCCAGCAGCAGATTGTGTCAGATTTAGGAAGGGGAAGGAGAACCTGGTTCCACAACATTTCTCAAAGCTTTGTATGATTACAAGTTAATCTATGAAGGGGGCAGGACGTAGAGCGCTTTGTGGGCACTGTTGGAGGTCCTCACCAGTGCCGTGTTGGGTACTCACAGGAAGAAATTTGAATTAGTTCCCGAGTGCAGCACTGATGGCTGTTGCTGCTTTGAGCAGCAGGAACATGAGTGCTACAGGTATTTTTTAATGAGGCCTTCTACTCTAATTGGCTGCACAGTGGTTGGGGTATCCATGCCAAGTGTATAAAGTAGGACAAGTGTGTGAGGGAGCCCAGATTACTGTATGTGAGGAGAAGCCCTAGTAACAAAGTGCCAGTGTATAAGGAAGCAATGCATGCACATGCATGAAGCACCCATGTGTGTTCAACAATAAGGCACCGGGGCCATTTCCAGTAGCCATTCCTGTTATTACTGCTACTAAATAACATAGCTTTAGTTTACATAATAACAAAACAGCCAGTAAGAGTGTAGGTTGAATCCAGGTTGTTGCATTGAGTTTAACATATATGGCTGTCTGTCCAGGAAAGATGTTGAGAATATGCTTGGTAAAATGAGCTACTAGTTGAGAGAGAAAAACATTGTTCCCTTGAAGCCAAGGAGGCTAAGCTGGAGAAGCTGAGTGAATCAGAAAAGTTTTTGAATGAGCTGTTTGGGGACTTTATATGGGCGTCCCAATCCCAGGTTGATGCTCCTTTGTAATCATGCATATTGTCTTGAGTTAAGATGCCATCACTCCAGAAAGGAGGGAATTCCTTGCTTTCTTCCCCAGCTCTAGATTTGGAGTCGGAGTGCAGTAGAGTATGGATCTGCAAATTATGATACATGCTGAGTAGCTGCTTTGGTTCAGCACATTTGCAACTGTGTTTATGCTGGACAAATGTCCTACATCTTGCTCTTTAGAGATTTATGCTTTAGTAAGTAGCTTATCTTGTAGAAGTTAAAGCAAAAAGCAACTTCAGTTTTGAGAATATTAGCCTTCCTTTAAAATTAGATGAGCATTGAGTTTCTTTCTGGATTTGATTTAATTAACTTGCTGTATTTCCTTACCATTGAGAGTCAGTGGGCAAAAGCAAGAGGATGCAGAACTAAACATTGAACAGATTGTGGGTGTGGGGATTGCAGGAAAAAAGAAGCCATGGCTTTTTTCCCTGATGTGCTGCTTTATTTTCTAGCATCTGCAGCCAGTAAATGGGTTGTGGAGGTGGCTTCCAAGCCACCCTGCAACCCATGGTCTGTTCTAGGGTCGTGGGATGGTTTGGAAGCCACACTTGCCATTTACTCTTACTGGGCAACATGGCAGGCTATGCCCCATTATGCACACAGGTATATTCTGAAATGGGAAAAGACGTCTCCATGGCTTCTTCCCCAATCCTCCAAACCCAGTCAGAAGATGGTAAAAAGAATAATTATGCATTCATTCAGAGTCAGTAGATGAAACCTTGAGTTCAAATTTTGCAACTCATTGTCTTTCCCTTTTAGCTCTCTTCAATAAAACAAGTAAGTTGGGGTGTCTGTCTGGAAGATGAGCTCATTGTTCTGTAGATCTACTGTGCTGTTGAGGTCTTCCACACTAATCTGGATAAATTAGAAGGAACAGCTGGCATATGTAGGGCTTGGACATACATCTTTCCTTTTCTGAAGAACTGAAAATGCTCTTTTTTCTTCCAGTGAATTAGATGATGACTTGCTAGGAGAAGATTTGCTGACTGGCAAAAAGGTAAATAAGAAACCTGTTTAAAATATATGCATAATTTATGTAGTAAAAAGATACATTAATTTGTTCAGTTCCAGTGGTTTTCTGTGTGTCTAGAGTGCTTTGGCGCACCTCTGTCAATAATCTGCTTGAGTTTTCTTTCACATTTGAAGGAAACGTGTGGAGAGCAGTTGCAGACTAAAAATTAAGTTTCCCAGTCAGCACTGTTTCCTTCATGTATGGACTGATTGGCTGTGTCTGGGGAAAGTTACGAACACAAATATATATGGGGTATTGCCAGGAAGATCTGTAACAAGTATAGTGGCTCCTTACACATGATGCTTGTGGCACTGAGGCACATCTTGGAATATGCAGTGTTCTCATGAAATGAGGCTGCATTGCTTTGTTTTGCTCTCTCATTTTAAGAGTATTGAGCAGAAAATTGTATTTCCAGGTTGCTTAATCTTGCAAGGCAAGTACTAAAATGTGGTGTTGGTGGTACAGGTTGGGGCATCCTGAGCTGTGCCATTTCCATTTCTTTTTTTAAAGCAAAGTTCTACTTCTCATGACATTGAAGAGGTCGTGAAAACATATGAGTAGTGCATTGTGAAATGACAAATAGATGCAAGGTTGAATTAGTTTTGCATGGAAAAAAATAACTAATTTTTTGCTCATCCCTTTTGCTTGCAAACGTTGATGTATATGAGCGTAATTTTGTTCAAGGTGCTGGATTCTTCTCTTGGCGTGGTCTTTGTATTTACTTTGAAAAACTTTTTTTTTTTAGTATGAAACATTAATTTTCCTTGTGGTAGCTCCCTGGTGCTAAATTTGGATACTTTTCTTTCAGTCTTTTTAATCATATGCTTAATATTAGAGTTGACTATCTAATTCTGTTCAAGCATTATCAATCATATGATGACACTAGCATAATCTAAGTTACAGAATAGGAGATCAAGTAGGAAATAAAAATGTTTAACATAAATAAGATTTCATACTTTGGCTCCCCTTGACAAATATCCCCTCGACAAATTCTAGTGAGCTGCAGTTTCCATGTGAAACTTGGGGTTTTGAAGGTAGATGGATATAATTTGCGAAGCTGTGTAGTAAGCTCTGACCCTTCCCCAGCTTCAAGTCTCAGAGAAAGTGTGTGTGTGTGTGTGTGTGTGTGTGTGTGTGGGGGGGGTGCTTTGGGGATACCATGTGGCAAGTTTGCATAGGTGCACTGAAGCCCTGCACCCTCCACCTCCAAACTTAGACTGAGGAAGGGGTTAGGGTTAGGGAGATTTGTTTGGACCTCGTGAGAATCTTAATGGAAAACCAGTGAAAAGGAGGGAAGTGGGCAAATACAAGGCTTGGTTTGCTGTTGAGGCCAACCAAATGTGTGTACTTCCAGGTATTTTTGTTAATGCTTCTGACAAACAGCCCTTTTACTGATAGTATGTCCTAGTTTAGGTGTACATTGGTACATAACAAAATCAAATTGTATTGTGAAACTGGGAATGAGTGTCAAGGCCACACATTTCTTCTCTTTTATGTGTTGCCTTGGAATGGCAAGGCCTGTTTTAATGGCAGTTAATTAACCAGGATAATAACCCAGGAATTGGTTTAGAATTAATCCAGTGTAAAAGAGGTGAGATGTATGTGACCTCTGACAATAGGTGCTTGTTTCATAAACTATAATTTCTAAAGCTGGAACATATGTTCAAACCAGGCTGGACCATTTTAATTGGTTTTAATATACGTTTTAGTGAGCTCCCTCCCTCCCTCCCTTTCTGGTAACCTGCCTGCATCAAAAGAATTGTGGATTATTTTTGGTCCCACTCATGCTAAATTATTAATGCAATTTATATTTTGTACACAGAACTCTCGTTGTTGCGTGTGGTGGTCTTTGTTTGCATTGCTTCTTAAACATAGCAAGTCGTTGCCCCCCTTCCTTTTTCCTTAGCCAACAAAACAAATAGTGGTAGATTTGTTGTCCTTGTTCTTTTTTTGTTAATACTATTTTACTTAACACTCATACTGTTCCTTAGTTGAAAAGCAAAACAAAAAAAGTTTGTCTCATTTTAAAGCTATTCTCTTTGAGTGAATTTAATCTAGTTGTGTTTGCCTCTAAGGAAATCCAACCAATCTGGATCTTTTTTAGTGACTTAATACTTGATCTGCTTCCTGTTGGATAGAAACAAATGTTGACAACACAATTAACAATTTGGAAGGAGTTCAGAGCAGCATAAGAGATGTTCCAACCCATAGCAATTTCATTGCTGTTCTCTGAACTCTTTCCAATTTCCTCACACTTTCTGTCTCTCTAGATCTTTCTCATTTTCTTTCCCTGTTATCAACCTCTAGAATGAAGTTGTTGAATTAAGGTAGAGCTGAACACATGTACCAATATTATTTAGGCCTTAAGTAGTTTACCTCTCAACCAGAAATGAACCACCCCATTTGATTGTCCCATGCTTCTACATATAAGTATTCTGACATGTGTATGTTATTATGAGGTGAATTCTGCTTTAAAGACATAACTTTGGTCTTTTTCTCTTCAGACTGTGTTGGGTCACTTTTCATGGCACCATTTCTGGCAGTATAGCATGTTTGTCTTGCCAGCTAAATGTTCTAGCCAATTGTTGTTTCTTTCTTTAAATATTTCTATTCAAAGATTCTTGACAGATGGAACAATAAAGGTGGTTTGTATGTAGGCTAGGCATTCTTCAAATGAAAACTAATTCCAAGGAATCAGATGGGACTTTGGTACTACAACTTTTAAGCTTATTTAACCTGCCCTTTCTCCCAAGGAGTTGAGGGTGGCAAACTTGACTTCCCTTTTGCTTTAACCTTCTTCAAAAAGTTTGCTGTGAAGCTGAGAAATGGTGAAAAGGCCTCCACTGCTATTTATTTAGCTCCGGCAGCTTCCAGTGCTGTTTATTTTGCTCTAGGACAAGCTAGTGCTTGTACAACATCAATGGCACTTGCTGATGTGACGCGTTTCCTTAAAGACACCTTTTAAGTGTTGCAGTTGAGCAGGGGCTTAAGCCTAGATCTCCTGGATAAAGTCCTACTCCTGTGCTGGTAGCATTACTAGAAATTAGACTTCAGTTTGCCCTTCTCTGAATTTTGGTGAACTAGTTTCACCAGTCCCTACCGTTAGTTATATTTAGCTCACTGTTAAAATGCAAAATGGTCAACTATAGGTTTCCAAGTGATTCATGGACTCTTCAGAATAAAGTAGTAGCGGGGGATCTTGGAAACTTGTTGCTTACTGATCATACCTCACAAAAGTACATTGTTACTCTTACACATTTTGTGTGGGGTAACCTCAAGCTCATTTTTTAATTTTTAAATGTAGACTCAGTCTGATATGTCAGATGAAGAACTGAATGATGATCTCCTACAAAGTGACAATGAAGAGGATCAACATTTCAGGTATGTTTCTTACAACATAAGCCAAATAATATAACTGGCTTTTTAAACCAATCTCTTTAAAGGCCTTAAGAGTACAGCCACCACTTCAGCAAGATGGCTGTAAAATGTAAAAACGATTAAAATAATATAACATCTGCAGGGTATGGAAGCAAATACTATTTCTTCCTGCTGTTCCAGGGAGTTAGTGGGTGCTGTGGATCTTGATATTCTTTCCCTGTGGCTGCAGCGTTCATAGGACAAGGCATCCCTAGATCCCCAGCTGACCCCAAGATGTCTCCAGGTGCAATCCTAAGCACACTCTTAGTGTTGCACTTGGTGAAATGCTGAGCTGAGGCAGCCTGTTTTCCTCAGTTTGTACCTGAAGCAGAGGATGGGGGCAAGGTGTAGGCAAAGAGCTGCAGCAGCAGCACCATGTAGAGTACCTTGTGGCACACACAGTTAATGGCCTTTGTTGGAATGGTGGATCAGCAAACATAATGTGCTTTGGCTCTGCACAAAGGATCTGCCTGTGTATGACGCCTAATCCATGAAAATAAGGTGCCGCTTTTCTGGAAGAACATGACTAGAAGTTCACTTTGTTGAGCTACTTTTAAAAATTAAACAGAAGATGCCTGCAGGATAGAACCTGGTTTCTTGGATGTATTCTGCAGTGCAGTGTTAGGCTCATTTAAAAACTTGGCTTCTGCATTGGAATTCCTTAAGAATCACAGTTTTCATGATAAATTCTAATGGAAAAAACTAGTGTTATGCCTCCAGTATATAACTTGCTAAAAACTAAATGAAAGTTTTAATCTAATAAAAGATGCTTCTGATTAATCAGGCAGTAGACTTTAAACAGCATTATTTGAAATATGAGTATTTATAAAAACTACAGATGATGAGCACCCTCTCAAAGTGGTCTCCTTTTTTATCTTGTACAGAAATGAAGACCTCTTCTAAGGTGATGCTTGACTCAGTGTTTATATAATCTGAAACACAAAATATGGTTAAGAGCTGTAACGTTTATCCATATGCAGATGTAATCTAACTAAATTTGTAAGATTGATCAACTAAATTTCCTTAATTGGGTGGCAGCCCTAATAGATTTACTTGGGTGCATTTGTTCATTAGTCTGTCCCACATGCTTTCCTGAACTAATTTGTTCTTCACTATAACTTTGCATGAATAGGTCTTGGAGAGAGAGGCACAAAAACTGGGAAGTTATTACTAATTTGGAAAAATTATGCAGGAAGGACATCAAAGCCCCAAGTTTCTTCCCTTTTTGGCTTTTACTGCAAAATTCATTGGCTAGGTAATGCTGCAGATTGGAGACCCATTTAAAATTAGAGGGCTACATGCTTATAAGTATTAGATGCAAATTGCCATTGGGAGTCCATTTAAGCACAAACTTTTAAAAAGCAGTTTTTAATTATAAGAAATAAAAGTGAAAGAAAGGCCAAAGTAATAGCTGCCTGGCAGTACTAATGTAGCTTAAAATGATGAGTATTGTTGCCATTAGAGTAAAGCAGGTTCTTTTCTCGTTCTGTCTATTTATTGGTCTGAGAATTAAAATTGAATGCAGCTTGCTTGGTTACTCTGTACTTCTTGCCAGCCTAACCTGCTGGACCATCTGGTTGGTTTGATCCCTCTGGTCAAATAGCCTGCAGCTGGTGATAAGCCTTGGTATAAGTATGCATATTATGAGTTTGTGGCACTGATTCAAGTTTTTGCTAGTTCATGTAGAGAGTGCTCTGTGTTCATCTTGTACAAAATCCACACACCTGCATCTTGTCCTCTTAATTGTGGTTAAACTTATTTTAAAATGTGTATCTGTTTTCATTTTTATTGTACCGTAGTACTCAGGATGTCAGCATCGGTCTTAATGCTACATCTGGCATGGTTACTTCCTTTGAGCTGTCGGAGTCTGGTAATGATCCATCTATGGAGCAAAATTCTGAGTATGAACAAGGGGAAGATGAATTGGGTTATGAGAAATCGGAAGAGCCTGAAGAGTATGCTGAAGAGTATGCAGAAGGACAGTATGAAGGCCCAGAGGCTGAGCTGACAGAAGACCAAATAGAATATGGGGAAGATCAGGGAGAAGAAGAGCTTTATAATGATGAAGTGTTAGAACTCGAAATCAATGAACCTCTAGATGAATTTCCAGTGAGTTTTTCTCCATTGTATTTTCTGAGATTACATTGCTTCACATGCCTAGGTTTTTAGACTGATTTGAAATCTGTTTACCTCCCTAGGGATGGGGGGAAAATTAGACCTATTATCACTGTCTGCCAGTTTCTTTATCTAGGCTGTGACAAAGTTTGTGTTGACAGCTTGTTTGGCTGTAGGTAATGCTCCTTTGTCATTCTGGAAGGCAGTTGAGAATCATGACCTTGAGGATTGTATCCTTAAGGAAGAAAACAGCTTTGTGTGGTGGAGACACAGTGCCAATTGTTAGAAGTACTTAATGCAAAAGCTTTTATCCAGGCTTTAAACAAGATCTGATAAAGTCCTTCGAAGGTGAAAAGATTATTGACCTGCTAAAGACATCCTTAAGGTGCTAATATTCCAAAGTGATTGATGTCCTGCTCACTCATTTCCACCCTCCCCTTTTTTTTGTAACTGAGAACTGTCTAACCTGAATAAAGAGATTGGAGGTTACTTCAGAAAATGTCATATGCACAATTTGTTTTAGTTATTGAGGATATCTGTCCTGACTTGAAATAAAAAAAATCTTAACATTTGTCCAAAATATTTTGCAGAGAAAACCTAGGAAGATTTATTGGTACTTTCATTTTGCTTTATTTTTTAAAAAGCATCTATTACCTCCTCCTAAAATTTGCAATAGGGCAAACCTTTCATAGGAGCAACTGAAGTATCACAAAATACTTGTTTTGTGCAAGGTGATAATAGGAGGTTGCTCTTGTTATAACTTATATTTAGTCATAATACTAAAGGGAAAAAACAATACAGTGGGAAAACAATACATAGTGATGCTTCATTACTCTTGAATTAATTAAACACTATTACTTTTATAGCTAATATGAATTTTAGTTGATTTAGCATACATTTCTCATTGTTACAACAGTTATAGTAAACCTATTTTAATGTGTTGAAATCACTAGAGAGAGCTTATATTCTCCTAAATTAATTGCTTCCAAATAGAGCTTGAAACATGCTGATTTGGGTCTAGTACAGGCATAATCCTGTACTAGATTACATGGATATGCATCTTAATTGTGTAAATTCCCAGTTCTCTTATTCTGCCTTAATCACAGTCAAGTGTTATATGGGTGTCATGGTCAATATTAACCAGGTTTCCTCTTAGCTACCATTTGTTAAAAAACTTAAAATCCTAGTTAAAGCTAATTTTTACATAGATCAGTTGTATCTGAGGTAGGCTTAGGAAGTTGCAGGTAGACTTCATTTGTGAGGTGGGGAGGGGATTGTAGAATTCTTTGGCTTCCTCTCAATCTACTTATTGTGGTTAAAATGTTGGAAACTTTGCATATGTACCAGACCCTACTGAATATGTAAGTAGTGGTAGGGATATTAAAATAAATTGTCTTCTGCAATTATTTCAGGATGAAGAATATATGCAGTCCTACACAGAACAGCAAGTAATTGAACAGCAAGAATATGTAGCTGAAGAAGAACTGGAAGAGGCTCCTGATACCCAGACACCTCCAAATGAGTCAGAAGAGGTACTTAAGAGAAGTGAAATTTTAAAGGCACAGTATTGCTTACTACAAGGGATTCAAATGTTTGCGGGGCTGTTATCTGCTCTGTATTTGTCTTTCAGTCCTTGTGTCAATATTTATAACTTTGAAGGTACAAAAATGGACTGAGAGAAGCTATCATCCTGTATTAGCCATACTATCCTTTTATGTTATCATCCTTGCCTGGTCAGAAAACTGAAGCAGGCTATCAGGATAATCAAACTTCCTGAGACCATCTGCTGCAAACAGCTGTTACCATGATCACTGAGAGCCTCATGACTTGAACACAGTTCTCCTGCTACTCTTGTCTCAGTGGCTGCTCTTCTGCTGCTCCTGTTCCTTTTCTTTTCTGGCAGACCTCCCTGCTACTTTTACTTCTACAAGGTCCACTCCAATAACTGGTTAGCCCCTGGACAGCCCTATTTTTCCTTTTTATATGTGTGTTTCCTTAGCCCTAGGTGTGTTAACATATTTTGGGTTGATGACTTTAGCTGGTATGAGTTGGTCCTGGGTCAGTGTTTGAGTTGCATAGGCTAGCCTTCCTGGCTGTAGTGATGGGAGCTGTTATCCAAGATATCTGAAGGATTTTGGCTTGGGGAAACCTGGCTTAAACTGCCTCATTTCCATTGGGAACCTGTTGCATATTTAGTTCTATGGATGTTAAGCAGAGGTAAGCATTAAATAGCAGATTTAGTTTGAGAGTCTGTTGCCTGCACATGGATCTATTAGACTCTACAGCAAGAGACTTTTTAATAAAAGGTAGAAAAGGTTTATTTACTTACAAACAGTCCACATGTGACTTACATGAAGGAGAGGTTGGTATTTTCAGGCAGGATATCTTGCTTCATTGTTAACCGGTTAGCTTAGAGAGGAGAGAGAAACACCTGCTTCTCTGGTCATGGTGGGGGACAGAACAGTCACATGACCTGTTACCTTTCCAGGTGAGGTGGAAGAAGTGACAGGACATGGCTCAAACAGTCAGTCTCAACAGTCAAATGGGCCAGTCTTATTTTGTTTATGACATTAACCCGTTTCTTCTCACTCTGATTAGTGGACAGAAGCATGCAATGTTAATATGAAGCAATGTTACATATATCTAACTTTTTCCTTATCTCTTGATATTGTTTGGACCAGCAGGTGCTTAGCAGCATGAATAGTTGAAAAAGTAAGCACACCTTTTTATTTTCAGATAGGACCATGTATACACCAGATGAACAACTGTTGTATCAATGGACATGGTACTATTAAATGCACTCTTCTACTTTTGCTTTTCTCTAGTGGAACTAACTCACCTCTCTAGGTTAATTCCTGTCTAGGGCCATTTGTGTCTAGTCGTAAATTAATTCCATTCAGCTACTGAAACCTTTGAAATGCATTATCTACACCCAGCAGAAATTACTGACCTTCTGTTTATAAACAGGCTAAATTTCCACCACTGGACAATACCTCAGTTGTGCTGGATTGTGGCCTGATTGCAGTAGTCCACTTTTTTATGGATTACATGCCCCATTACATTCATTTCAGAGTTGGAAGAACCAGATGAGCAAGGAGGTTGTCTTCTTAAGCAAGGCCAAAGTTTAATAAAAATGCAGTATAACATATACCTCAAGCATTCTGACATCTGGCACTTCAGGCCCTTCGGATAAAGAGACATCTTTCCAGAAGCTAGAGTCAAGAAATTCAAAGTGACTTTGGGCAGCCGCCCATGAGAAGACCAATTATCAACTGAGCAATAAGTTCATTTTTTGTCCGACACATTTATTTTCCTTTCCCATTCTGCAAGAGGCTAGATGCCACTCTTTGCTTTCAGTGCCAACATTTGAGGCAGGGGATTATATTATCCTTTTGGATTTAAGGTTTGTCATCTTAGTTCTCAGTTGCTTTTAAACCAGGAAGTTGGAGCTTTAGTGAGATTGTTTGACAGTCACCCCCCCCCCTCCAATTTGCTGTATGACCTTAAAAAATGGGCTCATCATGTTGTTTTCTCAGAATTCCACTTGGTTCTCTCAGAAGTTGAAAGCCTATTGTGCCTTGTACTTTTTATGTATGTTTGAGTCACTTCTTGAATCACAAAAGGAAGCATGTTGTAAACACCTGAAAATAGAATTACAGGGGCTTGTGAAGTGTCATGAATATAATGTAAACGCCACAGTACTGAGACTTTCCCCCTTGTTCAAGTCTTCTAATGGATGAGCCCTTATATTAGAAAAATACAGCATATGTCTAATATGTTAGCTCTCATAAATTCAATTGTTTTCCATTCCAAGTAAGATAATAAATATAAGACTTAGATTGGGCAGTCAAGGGAGAGTGAAATCTCCAAGCTGATCTATCTCATTACGTAATGTGCAGCTTCATGTATATGAATCGTGCTATATAAATACTGAGCATGTCATCTCCTTTACTTTATATCTTCCTATGTTTATACATGTATTTATCAATAGGCATATTTTATATACACCTTCCGGTCCGAGTTAACCATTCTCTCACTCTCTTCCCTGTGGACTAAATAACTCTTTCTTGTGGACTAAATAACTCCAAATCTCAAACCTCCAGGGATGTACCTATCCTGAAATCTAATCCTTTATTAAGTTATAAAGCTGTAGAGAGTATTCAAGTAAGGTCTTACACATCACCTTGATTTCCATACCTATATTCATCATATTCTAATTTTTATAGCCTAGAATTGCATCTCTTGTGGCCACATTGAACAGATTGCTTAGATAGTTCATGATAAGCAAAACTAACCACCTCCTCTGTCATTCTTCCTCATGAGAGTAAAGTACTGTGTAAAGGTGGCTATTCATCTGCAGATACATACCCTTGCATCTCAATTTTTCTAGGAGTGCTTTAATCAGATGGTGGTGGGGTGGGTGTCAGTAAAAGGCTTAGAAATCCAGCGCACTGGGTCTCCCACTTTTTAGTAGACTTAGTTTTCTAATTGCATGTAACTTCAAGGAAGAGAGAGATGAGAAAAGCTGGCAGGAGATGTGTCTTTGTCTGGTCTCATGAATCTTGTTTGAAATGCCAGTGCATGAAATCATGATTGTTGTAACCGAGGCCTCAGCAGCCTGGTGCTCTCTGGATGTTTTTGACTATTCCCTGACCATTGGTCTTCCTGGCATGGGCTGCTGTGAATTGAAGACTAAAACATCTGGAGGGCACTAGGTTGGGGAAAGGCTCTTGTGGGCCTTGGTAAATGGTGGTTGGAAAGGTGACTTAAAGGGAAAAGGACACAAGCCCGTAGAATAGCTTGTGAACTGTAAGTAAGGATTATGCCCTATATTGGGTAGAAGATAACTGGTAAAATTGACTTTCAGGAGACACTTCAGGGGGCACCAGTTAGAGATCTTTGCATCTAGTATGCCGCACATGAACATCCTCCCACCTCTTGCATATTAGAAACCTGCAAGCCCTATAATTTGCTATGTTTTCTGTGTTACAGGCAGTTATTGAAAATCTGGAGCTTCAAGAAGAAACCAAGGAAGAGTCTGATGAAGAAGAGGAAGATGATGAAGAGTCTGGTCGATTACGTTTCAAAACTGAACGGAAGGAAGGAACAATCATTAGGCTATCAGATGTAACAAGAGAACGAAGAAACATTCCAGAAACTTTAGGTAAGTTTCCCTATTTGGGGAATGCTTAGAACAGTTAAACTTTTGCGTTTAATTAAAACATACAATTTATTGATTTGTGAGTTGTTTTGTCCCGTTTCAGGTAAAGACTAGTTTCAGATAATAAATAAAATAGAAAACATCAATCATTAAATATTTTTCCAAAAATTTAAGAGCACAGATCAAAGAGGTTCTGCGCAAGGTGATTTGATCTTTAACATGCTTTTAGTGACAGTCAGTGATATTTCCCCTACAACTTCAGCTGCATACTGCCTGGTCCAGTACATATAGCGAGCTATATCAGAATGCCGAAATGCTGGTTTATGAACTTCCATTTTGCTGCTTCCCCCAGTATGATTATGAAGAGCACGATGGACACTTTTCCCATTTTAAACAAGCCATGGCTGCTTTATACCTTGAAATCCATTGCTTCGGCTTTATTCCACTCAGCTATCAAATATTGACCCTGGCTTGTTTGAACCAAGTGCAGTTTAAATAATGGCAATTTTGAGGGGTTAGTCCTGATGTGGAATTCTGGTTAGTTCAAAGCTGAAACAAAATTTCTGCATCTTGTGGGCCAGAAAAGAGGTATGAATACACATAGTGTTAATGTAATCTTAGGTCATGTGACATTAAATGATAGTTTATCATTCTGTTCAAATGCCTTTGAGTGTGCGTGCGCGTGTAAATGTTAGAGTCAAAGTTGGATATTTGGTGAAAGCACATGTTAGTTACCCAGATTCAGTTACTGAATTCACTGTTCCTTTGTTACCTCCCCACCACTTTCTTTTTAACATGTAGGTAGTGGTTTTATTTAGGAAGTAATTGCATTAATGCAGAAGGTTTTAAAAACAGGTTGCTCAAAACAGGGGTAGGGAACATGTTACCCTCCAGTAATTTTGGCCTATGGCTACCATAAGTTCTAGCAAAAGCAGCCAAGGGGAGCGATGATGGACGTTGTAAATCAGAACATCTGGAGGACCATTCCCGCTCAGAAACCTCTCTCAAGCATATTGCCTTTTATTCAAAGGCTCCTTTATATTTATTGACAGTTACTTTAAATTTTCTAGTGAATGTTGTCTTTAGATTAAACATAAACGGTATTGTTAATAATGGATTCTTTTTGGTTGATGTATTAATTGTTGTATTTGATAAGTTTCCCAGGGTAGAACTAGGAAGACCTGATTTTGTTTTTTAAAAAGGGAAACAGTGCTGCAGTCCTGGAAGATATTATTGTTCACTTCGTATTGATTGGATGATTGATTCCTCAGTGTTGGCTGAGGCCTTTATTTTATCTCGGATGGGAATTTGTTAAAAGGAAAGATGTAAAGATACATGGGAAAAGTCATGTCTGGCACATAAGCCTTAAGTCTTTCTTTTAGTTTTACATTAGTAGAAGAATACACTGTGGTTATATCTAGATTATTTAGGACAAATACAGTGTCCTATATGGTGATTCATAGTGCCTGCTCAGCATGGGAGTAAGTTCCCCACCCCATTTTCTGTTAGGATTGGCTGATTAAAGATGGTGTCTGAGAGAAATCTCGGATTCATATTGTCATCATAGTGAGATAGATTTGGCAGGATTACTAATGAATTATTTACAATCCCAGTGTGTCATCTCAATAAAGTATATGCAAACAAGTCTCCTTTTGAAATGTTCGCAGCTTTAGGATCAATATGAAGACATGGTGTAGTTTGCAAACAGAAATTGCTGGTGTAAGCTGGTACAGCCCTGAGTGCAAGAACCTCAGGGATTCATTTTCTTCCCCATATTACAGACAGGAATATACCCTCTTGAGACACATCACTGTCTGATGTCGCATATGAAAGTAACCTGTGCAGTGTAATATAGTAATAATAATTTCAAGATGTGGATTGATTTGGATACTTGTGAATGGTAAGCTTCTTAGAGGAGCTCTGTGTTTTGCAACTTGACGGTAGTAGCTGTACCATTTACAATTTTCTAAGGTGTTTCTCTTTTCCAAAATTTAGGAATATTGTGTGTATTGACCTGCAATATGATATGTACACACCTGGTTTTTCTTAACAAATCCAAGTGGCTTCCGTAAACCCAATATTTGAGCTTGCTAGTCATCTAGTTAAGGGTCCGTAAACGTCAGGTCAAACAAACAGTGGCATAGGCAGGTGGGCCAGCTTACTAGAGGCATACCTGTTGTAGGTGTCTCTTGTGTTCTCAACTAAGGGACAAGTTTGTGGTACTCCTGTGGACCAAGCTTGGATTCCTAGGCAGTGGCTATGGTCTGGGATGGCTTTTACCAACTCTGGTTGCTTAGTCTGCTGTGTCCATGGCAAACCTAGCTGGATTCATTTGTAGTTTAGTGACCTGATATGATTATTATAATGTGCAATTGAAAATGGTCCAGAAATTTGGGCAGGTACAGAACATTGCAGCCCAGCTTTCAGGCCATATATTACACCATCATTAGGTGGGGATTTGTTCAGACCCAGTTTGAAGTGCTGATGTGGTCAGTTAAAATCCTAAGTTAGAGATGGGTAATTTGTAGGTTAACGCATCTGGAGGGCCACGATCCCTAACCCAAGCCAGCATAGCCTAGAGAGATCCTGGGAGGAGTAGGCCCAACTATCTGGAGAATCACAAGTTGCTCACCCTGCCCTAAAATTCACTGCATTCAGGAATGTCTTCTGCCTGTATGATTTTTTTCTCTCCCATACATGCACACTGAAATCTACCAGTGAGGCTGTGTTCTAGATCCCAGCCTTTTCAGATGTTAATTTAACCTGTTCTAGGAGGATGGCATTTTCTGTAGTGGCCCTGGGACTTTGGAGTGATCTTATGAGAGATGTCTGCTTGTCTTTTGAAGTCTTTAAGAGGCAGGTGCAACATTTTTTCTGCCAAATAGTCATGCTGTAAATGCTGTTGTTGCTGCTCTCCTTCTCTTCTTGGGCTTTGTCTTCTTCCAGACATAACTGACTGAGTTATGTATTAAACTTAGATTTTGTATTTAGTTCTCATATTATAGATCACATTGTGAAATCTAAGAAGCAGTCATAATGTACATTTGTATGTTCTGTATTTAGTATATTGCAAAAGTCTCCCACAAGTATCTTCTTGTTTGTTGACAAGGAAAGGTTCTGGGACACTTCATATGTGATCCATTCCTCACACATTGTTTTGGTGGGAAAATGCTCCCTCCATTGCTCCACTGTCTGTGCTGCACATTCACTTGCACACACAACACACACGTTTCTCTGTACCCACTATGGGAGCCCACCATCAGTTGGTGCTTCTTGTCACATGTTTTATCCAGCAAAGCAGATCTTATATTCAAGGGCAGTGATGGCGAACCTTGTAGAGACCGAGTGCCCAAACTGCAACCTAAACCCCACTTATTTATTGCAAAGTGCCAACACTACAATAAAACCTGAAAACTGAGGTTTTAGTTTAGAAAAAACAGCTCACAGCCAGTCCAAGCAAACACACACACACACACACACACACACACACCCCTACCTACCTCCTTGGCAGCACACTGACCAGCCAAGTGAAAGCTCAGACGAGTCGCAACTAATGAGTTGCAGCTTGTGATGTCATTGCCTGGCTCCGCAACTCCTTTCCGAGCATGCACATGGCCCCTATGTGCACTTTTATTCGATGCTTGGCTGCTTGGGGCAACTTGGCTCGCATGCCAACAGAGAGGGCTCTGCATGCCCTCTGTGGCACGCATGCCATAGGTTTGCCACCACTGGCCTAACTCTACCTTGGTGCACTCCCCTAACCCTAATATAGGGCCAAAATACCATTGAAAAGAGGGCGATTTTGAAAAAGCCTTCCTAGAATAGCTTTTTCTCCACATCTCAACATTTCTGCCCATTCTAAACACATTCCAACTATCAAAATCATGCCAGGACACCTTGTTTTTCTAACTCTAACCCAGTGATGGTGAACCTTTTAGCGACTGAGTACCCAAACTGCAACCCAAAACCCACTTATTTATCGCAAAATGCCAACACTGCAATAAAACCTGAAAATTGAGGTTTTAGTTCAGAGAAAATACCTCACAGCAGTCCATGCAAATATATATATATATCCTTGGCCGTGCACTGACCGGCCATGCGAAAGCTCGGACAAATCACAGCTAATGAGTTGCGACTTGTGATGTCATCGCCTGGCCCCACTGCTCCTTTCCGAGCATGCACATGGCCTGTATGTACGCTGTAATCCGCTGCTCGGCTGCTGAGGCAATGCTGGGGCAACTTAGCTCGTGTGCCGACAGAGAGGGCTCTGCGTGCCTGCTGTGGTACATGTGCCATAGGTTCGCCACTACTGTTCTAGGGTCATAAAGTGGCAGCTATGGGAACTCTGGGGGAAAGTAACCAGAAAGTAATCTGGGGGATTTTAAAGGAAGCAAAAACCAAATATAGCCAAACATGTACTCTGGGTTTTGTTGTTGTTGTTAGTCGTGAAGTCGTGTCTGACCCATCGCGACCCCATGGACAACATTCCTCCAGGCCTTCCTGTCTTCCACCATCCCCCAGAGTTCACTCAAGCTCACACCAACTGCTTCAGTGACTCCATTTAGCCACCTCATTCTCTGCCGTCCTCTTCTTCTTTTGCCATCGATTGTTCCCAGCATTAGGCTCTTCTCCAGGGAGTCCTTCCTTCTCGTTAGGTGGCCAAAGTATTTGAGTTTCATCTTCAGCATCTGGCCTTCTAAAGAGCAGTCAGGGTTGATCTCCTCTAGGACTCCTCTATTCTTCAAATAGGTCCAAAGTAAAAGACACAGGAAAGAAATAGTAGTTCAGCTACTCAGTGTGGATGCTAAAATGATAACAAAGAAAAGGCAGAAATACTCAAATCCTAATTTGTCTTAGACTTCTCCCAAAAGAAGAGCTATGACCTTCCTGATAAAGAGGAAGTACAAGCTGAAGGGGCAGGATGGTAGCACAGGATTGATAGGCAAATGGTCAAGGATCATCTCATTGGGTTGAATACGCTCAAATCTCCAGGGCCTGATGAACTCCATCCTAGAGTCAGGAAGGAGCTGGCCAAAGAACTCTCGGAATCACTATCTTCATGGAGCACAGGGGAAGTGCCAGATGACTCAAGAAGGACTAATGTCCCTGTCTTCAAGAAAGGAAAAAAAATAACATGGAGACTACAACTCAGTCTGACATCAGTCCTTGGGAAAATTCTGGAGCAAATTATTATTATCTAAATATCAGGAACAATTTCCTGACTGTTAGAGCAGTACAACAATGGAACCAATGACCTGGCGAGGTTGTGGGCTCTCCCACACTGGAGGCCTCCAGGAGGCAATGGGACAGTCACCTGAGAGGGATGGTTTAATTTGGAGTCCAGGAACCATGGAGCTTGGAGATGATGAGAGTTTAGTTTGGGCAGTTCTTCACAGTTCAGTTTAAGGAGATTCAGCAGATAGTTAATAGCAGAAAACTATTGTGCTTCAAAAGATCCTCAGGATAGAAAAGCCATTTCAAATTATGGCCTCTAATCTGAAAAGTATTTGTTAGGAGAATTCTTAGAAATATGTATGAAGTCAATAAATTGATGTGATTCCATGCTATGCTAAATTATGGTATGAAAATGTGGCCAACACAAACAAAAAATGGGTAATATCTCATTAGGAGTTTGCAAAAAAAGTATTTTATGCAAGCCTTGCAGTTAATTTTGTAGCTTACACTCTAGTTTTTTCCTGTGATAAGCCATTGTCACAGAACTGGAGCTGTTAAGAGATCTACAATAATTGATGTCTATTAGGAATCGACCTAACAGGAGTAAAAAAATGTAATAGAACTGGCATAATAAATATTACTTTCTTTCAGGATTGATTGCTCTTAATAGGAATTATGGGTATAGAAATGGAACTTGGTTGTATAGCTACATTTCTTTACTTTAAAATCTAGACGTAAGTTGAGAAAACACTTAAAAGAGAAATTAATATTTCAGTTGAAATTACAAACGTAATTTCCATCCTGTCACTTTTGGGTGACCTTTTGCTGACAGCTTGTCTCTATTGGAGGGAAGCATTCTTACTTGCTGATTAAAGATGTCGTTTGAAACCATTTTATTACCAAGGATAGCAAAATTAATCTTGACACTTGGAGGCACTAGAAAAATAATTGCTGATTCACTGCATTAGCAGTGTGAGGAAGAATTCTGCAGGTAAGATTGGGTCTGTGCTTGCAAAAATATGTTAAACATTTTTCCTCATGAATGGACCAGAGGCATCTCCTAAATGCTGCTTTTGCAAGTGAAAAGTGAAATCTTTTGGCATGGAAGAGGTTTTTTTAAGGAAGGTAGCTGATACTGCATGAATATAAAGTAGGGCTTTTGTAGGGACTGGGATCCAAACAGACATGTGCAACCCAAGCACCTTATAAAATGATGTTTTGCAAAGGCCCCTGATTTTCAAGGCAATTTTTGGCAGCATATGCACTTTGAAGTAGGAGGGGGAACTGAAAAGTGCCCATAACATGGGCAGTGGATCGTATACAGCTCTTTGTAAGCAAACCTTTTGTTTTGCTAATGTGGAATAAAAGTTTCTTTTAAAGGCCGTTCAACTTGGTATTGAAATAGTAGACTTCCTATTTGGGACAGAGTCCTTGCCCTTTCAGAAGAGGGAGTGTTTGAATTTGATAGTGAAAGGAATTAGGTTTATATCTGTGCTCATCTGGGAATAGACTAACTTTGCCCATGTGTACTCTTACAGCTAATACCTTCATCAAGTAGTCTGTTTTATGTTCCCATCATGCACCAGGGAGTAAAGTTGACTTCTTGCTGAATCACGGTCTTTTCAGTAATGGCTCCAAGACTCACAGTAGAATTTCTTGGGGAATAAGGATATTTGGGAAGGTCTTTTGGAAGGTCGTTTGGACAATAATATTTGCTAATATATTGTTTATAGATTCTTAATTGGATTTATGGGTATGTATTTTCAGGTTTTCAGGCTCCATGGGAGTAGGAAAACTGAGCATACATAGCTGTAATAAACACTTGGGTAAATGTGTACGTTTCAGTCAAAGATATGTTGAGGATAATCTGAGACAAGTGAGAATAAGAAATTGTGGATGGAAGGTAAAGGATAAATTAGTCTCCCAAAAAGCAGTCCTCCTATTTGACAAAAAATGGAGTGAGTGGTCAGCTCAAAGTGGCTTCTGTTGAACCCAGGCTGCCAGCTCTCCCCATTCTTATATTTTGGAAGCAGAAAAGGTTTGGTTTCATTCCATTCCTGAAGTAGTGGTTTCCCTCCCCTAGCAGATGCAAACTACCACAATGTGAGTGCTTCCTTGGTAACCAAGGGTCTTAAAAGAAGCAGGCAAATGCAAGCAGCCTTGGGGTCAGATGGGTTGGGAGTTCTTTTGAATTTTTCTGCAAGATTTACCAATCTCAGGTCAGGTTAGAATGGGACTGTCTCCTATCTTGTACCTCTACCAGTTTGGTACCCTCAGCTTTTGATATCCCAAGTTCCTTTGTGGAATTGTGGTATTGACATGTTAGAAAGGTTGGACTTTGGAATATTCTTGTCCTCTGTTTTTGTAGCCTGGCAAAAGAAACCATAAGCAGCCACAATCCTGGGTTCATGCATTATGAAAACCTATGGCTTAAATAATTCACAGTTCACAAATCGGCAAGGTTATTTGTGGTTAACAACTCTTGGTTGTTTGTTCACATGTAATGGCAATCCATAATTCACTAAACATAGTTTAATTCACTAATTAAACCATAATTTATTCTTACATGTGAACCAGGTCAAAGAAAGTGGGGTTTGGATTTTAATGGGTGCACCAGGGTTGTCACTAACTGACTTTCCCACAGCCTGTCTCCCTAAGCACTTTGCTTAGCCCTGCTCCAGTGTAACTGAGAGAGAAATATGTGATAGGGAGGTTCATGGGGAGCTAAGAAGGAAGGACATGGTGGGTTACGCATTTACTTACTTGTCCTTCCTGCTAGTAAAATTGGTACCCTCTCCTGGCATTTTGCAAAGCGGTGGCAGATCTGAATTTAAAGTATCTTTCATAGTATGCTGCTGGTGAGGCTTGCATTTGCCTGCTTTTTTAAGACCAAAAAGCCCCCCCCCCCCCGCCTTTTAGTGTTGCAACCTAGACACTAGGTGTCTATTGATAGTAGAATGATAGTGGAAGTCCTCTCAAGCGTATCTTAAAGACCAGGCAAGCTCATATGAGAGAAGGCAGTCTTGCAGGTAACCTGGTCCTTACAGGGCTTTCCAGGTAATACCAAGCACATTGAACTCTGTCAGGATACACAGCAGTGCCCAGTAAGGATGCTGAACCAGCTGCAATTTCTGAACAGCTCCACATAGAGCATTTTAAAGTAGTCCAAGCAGGATGTACCTGAGTCATATTTGATCTGGCCATGGTCACACAACAGTAGGAATGGCTCCGTTAGTGAACTAGCCTCAGCTGCACAAATGCACTCCTGGCCCTACCAAGACCTGGTCAAGCAGGTTCAGGAACCAAGTATAAAAGTGTGAGCCTGAATCTGCAGGGGGAGTGTAAACTCATCCAGCACAGCTGGAAACCCTCTTGCCTAATCTGCCATTCAGATTCAGCTGACCGCATGCACTGCTGTCTGTCCTGGATTAGGCTTCAGCTTTTTGGTTTCACCCAGTCCATTACAGATATCAGGCACTTATTTAGAACCACAGCAGAAAAGAGAAATAGGATGTGTCATCAGCTAATTAATGGCACTGATACCCCAAGCTCCAGACAATCTCTCGAAATGGTCCAGCAGAGCTTTAGAGAGACACCCCCTTTCTGGTTCTCAGCATAGGTTGTCCACTCAAGTGACCAAAGCAGCCTCTGTGCTGAGGCCTGAAGTCAGATTAAAACAGCGCTCCATAGGTCATTGGTCCTGGAACTGAGAAGCCAGTGTATGATCCAGCCCTGCTCCTCAGAATTAAATACTGGATAACAGCTGGAAATGATCCTACAGAGTGGGATTCAGGGAGGTTTTTTAAAACAAAGGTTTACAGCTGCCTCTAGGCAAGATGGGAATCACATCTTGCCATAAGAGGCATTTGCCACAGAATTAATTGTGTTTTAGTTGTTGGCCCTCTTCCAGTCCATTGCCACAGCCAGGCCCCAGTTTAGCACATCCACAGCCTCTGAAGATAAAAAAAAGTAAAGCTGCATGACATCAGCACAATGCATTCCTGAACTTCAGATGAGCCCACTCAGCCATTTCATGTAGATGCTAAATTGCATGGGAGACAGAACAGACCCCTACAGAATCCTATGCTGGAGAACCCACAGTACAGTATTCCTCGAGCACCACCCCTTCTGGAGGGAGCCTTCCAAGTTGGTGCAGTCTATTTTATTGTTGTAAACTGCCCCAAGATCTTCTGCTGTTAGGTGGCATAGAAAAGAAATAAATAATTTTATAAAACTTAAGTGACTGAACTACTGTTGAAAGAATAAAGTATTACTATGCATTTCTATTTGCAAATTAAAAGGATACTATCAAAATACTGCACTGAACATAGAAAAATCATCTTAATGTACATACCATATTATCATCTTGGGGGAGCATTCAATCCTGTTGTGGAACCTGTGAAAATGTTACCAGTTCATTAACTTTATAATCTTTCTGGTAAATAAGTGCTCTCATTTTTGTCATCTAATAGAACTTTCTGCAGAAGCCAAAGCAGCACTGCATGAATTCGAAGAGAGGGAAAGACAACTGAAGCAGGGCCGTTATGGGGCGAGACGAGGAGGAAGGAGAGGAGGGCCTCTAATGTGTCGTGGAATGGGAGAACAAAGAAGAGACAACAGTGAAAGGGGAAGAATGAAGGATCACAGACCTGCACTGCTGGCAACCCAGACAGCTGTTACGGTACTTTAAAAGTAGTCATGGTGGTAATGGTTGGGGTTTTCCACTTTAAACTTGGAACATCTGGGCCGTAATCTTCAGAACTATTTTAGATACACCCAAGGGACATAATCAAAAACTACTTTTGAATGCTCCCACGATTCCTTTGTAGGCCTGCTGCGTGGCGTAGAAAGCTCCTGTGGCTCACTGTTCTAGAAGTAATATATGTTTGAGGTGGAAACATCTGTAAGTGGGAGAGTGGGTTTTTTAAAGGTAGGATTGGTAGAACACTGGGAGAATTGGAACCCTGAACCTAGATGCCTTTGAGGTAACCCTGCAAGGCCAGACCAAAGACTGTCCAGCGCCGCAAACTAATTCTCATCACTGCTGGCTGGACTCTAACAATGTTGTGTGTGAAGACAATATGTTTACTTTGCTGTTTGGCCCCCTCCCCCTCCAAATGGAATTTGGAAGCATCCTGCTTCTGGACACAGGGGATCTGAGGTACCATTCTGGGTCATCCTCCACTCACTGCTTTAATCTCATAGGTATGTCAGGGGGTTTCCCCAGAGTCATTTTTGGTGGTGAGGTTTTTTTTTAACATGACTCAGGGGCTCCATGCAGCTCTCTAAGACCCTTCAACCCTGGAACCTGCCCTGACCTACCTTATCCTCCGCTCTCTGCATTCACACTCCCCCTGAGGTCCTCAGACCTTTCTCCCATTTTCCATCACTCCCAGTGGCAAGGAAAGAGCTATCTGTCAGGATTGTGTGTGTGTGTGTGTTGCAAGTGCTTAGCTAGCATCATAGGTGGCCCTGGGGCTAAATCCCTTTTGTAAGGCAGTAGGATTTCAAGTAAACATGAATTTCCTCTTTTTCATTTCAGACACATTCAGACAGGATCTTTCGGCATCAGCAACCCATTAGGAATCTCTTCCAGCAGCAGCAGCAGCAGCAGCAACAGTTACAGGGTCTGCTACCCATTCCCCCTCAGCATCATACACCACCCCCACCCCCTCAAGGGATTCATATGCCACCCCAGCTAGAAACACCAAGAATACTGATGACTCCTCCTCCAGTGACATCCCAGCAGCCAAAAAACATACACATAAACCCACACTTCAAAGGGACTGTAGTAACGCCTGTACAAGGTGAGATTTTATTGGAAGGTTTCGGAAGCATCTTCTGTCCCCTTTCACAGGCAGCACTACAAAATGCAGCGTGGAAAGGTCATAGCCTGGTGGTTGAGCACATCTGTTCAGTGCAGAAGGTCGCAGGCTCTCTTGCTGCCATCTCCAGGTAGCACTGGGAACAAACCCGTCAGGAAACCCAGAAAGTGCCGCTAAGGAGTAGCGACTGTATTGAGCTTGCAGATAGGTTGCAAGGCAACTTCCTATTCTCTCTTTACCATTAAAGTCCCATGGAGGGGCTTAATCCCAGTTGGAAATAGAAGGTGATGGGCAGGCCTCTGTTTGAGTCTCAGGAGGCAGAGTTGACAGGACCAGACCAGACAAGCAAAATAGGCTGACCTGATGTAATGTAGGTGGCTTCCTGTGTTCCTTGTTCTAGTTCTGCCGCATGCAGTAGGTTTCTGGGGCTGTAATGGAGTGTCAGCCCAGAGCTTTGTATACCAAAAGTCCCAGGTTTAATCCTTAGCATCTCCAGGGCTGAACATTTTCCTGCCTGAAACCTTGAGTACTGCTGCTAGTCAGTGTTAATAATCCTGGACAGGGTGGACCAAGGTTGGATTCAGTATAGGGCAGCTTCCTTTGTGCCTGCAGACAGCTGTACCACTTTGTCCTGGGGCATTTCTCCCCCCCACCTTACAGCTGCAATACAGATGTTGCTATTATGCATGCAGTGTCATTTTCTGCCGTCACTTTTGCAGAGGTGTGGGTGTGGAAGGGAGGATTGGTTGCTTAACAAAAAAGGGTGTGCATTTTTAGGACTGTCTTGAGGATCACTTTCAGTGTAGTTTTGGTGTAGAAATTGCTAAATCAAAGTATTTTGTAATCTAATGAGCATCCACAAGAGCAGGGTATATACCAGTAGCTGGTATTAGAATGACTAATTCAGTACCCTGTCCTACCTGCTTGCTGTCCTCAATCTCTGCATGGTTCCCTCCTTTCATTCACTCCAGTGCTTGCAAAAATCATTCTGATCATTTGACTACCTGAGACTTATAGTGTAACAAAGCTTGCAAAATAAGCAAATATAAAGCACTCAATTCTGTAATCCAAAGCATGCCAGCTCATGATTGAATAAAATTGCATTCAGTTGGCCCTACCCCCTTGTAACCATGATTAGGATTGCAGCTGCGATTCCATAATTAAGTTAACGTTTATGTTATATTTGGATTTTTGGGAAGTTGTGTTGTGTCTCCTATGCAATGTTGTAAAAATGTCATCTCTAGTTCAGTCCTGTTGGTGATAACTAGCATGACAGCTTGCTTTTAGAACAAATGCTTAGAAAGGTAAATTTAATTGCATATGGATTGTTAATTCTATAAAATGGAGAACTCTACATTTTGCAGCTTAGGCCATCAAAATCCTAATTGCCCTGTTGCATGGTGCTCACAAATTTTGCCTGCCTGAAGCTATTTGGGGGAGTGGGGAGGCAGCTGCCTACAAATGTGACTGCTTATAAAAATGGCCTGGAGTCTTGGCTAAAACAAATTGATTTAAAAGGTGTGCTCCTTGTTTTTAGTGCCCTTGCTGCCAGTCCCAACCCAGCCAAGACCTGCTGTAGGACCCCAGAGATTTCCTGTGAGTAGCAGCTGTTTCTTCTTTTCTGATATGGATAAGCATACATTTGCAAAGAAATATTAATATGGCAAATAAAAGTGGTGCCAGTGAAATATAATTTTAAGGATTTGTAAATATTGACAGTGATCTGTGAGGTAGAAAATTGTTTGTTAAAAGCTTAAGGTCAATGAATTTTTGAGAGCAGAATTAATTTTGTTTAATTGTAAAGTTGTTGAACCAGTCTTTCCAGTGGGGAGTTAAAAAAAAAAACAAACCCAACAGCTTGGTTTAAAACATACATGCACGTGTACACACACCACCCACTTCTCGCTCTGTCCACTGCAGCCCTTTTAATAAAAGGAAGCCTGCTTATTCAATTAAAGGGACATACTAAATGCTCTGTGCAAAGACAAATTGCATGTTTCTAATGTAAAGATCAGTTATGGTTTTGTGGTGATTTTAAGTGTTTAATATCAGGTGTATATCTGATGCTAACTAACTCTCCCTTGCAGTTTCTCTTTTGGTTTCTAAATGTACTACCTGCCTCCCTTGATTGATTTACTTATATGACTGATGCTGAATACACACACTTCTTTTACCATTCATATTCTTGCAATATGTAAATATCACAAAATTAGAATTTTCAGTCTTCTGCTTCTTTAGTAGCCATCTCTTCATGCTGAGCATCAAAACTCACAGTGGGAACAATTGGAGACTCTTGTTACCTTCATTTGTCAGACTGGTGGGATCATGTATATCCAGCACCCATTCAATACTTATATAATCATAATGAAAATTAACCATAAATGTGCAAAAATGTTAATGGATATTGAAAAAATATGCACATCCTTCCTTTGTTTGACAATAGATTTTACACAAAAAATATTTGAGAGACTAGAAAATGTACCTCTTGAAATATGTGAGTAGATTTCCGTAGAACTGTAATGGGAGGATTATTTTTCCCGTAAAGATTCTTATCTAAGTAATTGCTATGCCTGTTCTTTCTGGGAGGGATTACTGATAGTCATAATAATTACTTACAGACCTTTTTATTAAAACATACCAAAAATGCTTTGAATCCTATGGGCAGCTCAATAGCATTTAAACCCTTTATTTTTTATTTTATGGAAAATCCAAGTAATGTGTATGTTGGAAGATGAGACAGTTTAGTTTGAACTACACTGAGACAATGTTTTTCATTGAATGTATCATCATTTGGGTTAAAAAAATGTAATAAGTGTTACATATGGTAATCTGTTCTGAAGAATAACTTTTAAATATGTGTAATTTGCTAATAGGTGAAATTATAAAGTTTATTGACCATTGGAATATGGATACCATCAGGTGTGTTCTGGTATGCTTGCAAAGAAGGCCTGCTCAGTTTTAAGTTGCATCAATAGAAGTGTAGTTTCTAAATCATGGGAGTGATAGTGTCACTCAACTCTTTGTAGTCAGACTTTACCTTGGATACTATGTCAATTTCTGGATACTACACTTGAAGGAGAATTCAAATAAATTGGAATGAGTTGAAGGGTAGCAATTATTATTATGGGACAAGACATTTAAGTTCTACAAGGCTGATTGAAGAAACTTGGTATGCTTAGTTTTGAGAAAAGAAGACTGAGGGGGACATGGTAGCATTTTTCAAGCACTGAACCTATCATTATTGGGAAGAGGCTGCACCTTGTTATCTGGCATCCCAAACTGCAGAATAGGAATGACAGGCTTAAGTTACAAGAAGGCAGACTTGGTTGAGCATCAGGAAAACTTCCTGATAGTCAGATTAGCTAGACAGTGGAGCCCAGCTGCCTTGGGAGATGGTCGGTTCTCTGTGACTGGAGGTATTCAAGCAGAGGCTGGACAGCCAACTGTGAGGGTTGCTTTAAACTGGATTCCTGCTCTGAGCAGCAGGTTGGACTTGGTGACCGAAATGGCCCTTCCCAAATCTGTGATTCTGTGACTCCTGAATACTTGGGTACTTCCTATATAACACACCTTGCTGGGAACCAAGGTAGCCAGATGATGCCCTCATTGTTTCCTAGACATTAGCTTGGGGCCAGACAACAACCAGTGGCTGGTCAGGCTGTGTATTTGACCTGTCATCACCTAGCAGTAGGATATGGAAGTGTAAAACCCATGAGTTTGATGGTGTGGCACTGTTGGGAGGAGCAGGGCACTGAGGAATGAATGTACTTCCTGAAAAGTCCCCTCAAGTGCCAGATCAGTAGTATGGTGGAACATTGTGTTTGCAGTTTGCACATAAAACAATAAAGTACATTTGGATGAAATGGACTGCATTCAAGTGAAAATAGAGCAGAATGAGACTTTTAACTAGACATCAATATTTGGCAGGGCCACTGGTACCTGTTGGGCGAGCTCCAGTTCATGAGCTCCTGGTTGCCATTTTTGCCATGGCAGGGGTGGCAGTGGTGCTAGTAATTACATAAAACAGGGTCATCACTGCATCCAAGCTGAGGAAATGTGGAGCAGAGGCCTTCTGTATTGTTAACCCGGCAGCGGTGGGTATTGGTTCTAACAGAAAGATTTAGCTATTTGGAGATGCTTCCTTTCCTTCTTCCGTGCAGTTACTTGCTCCCCAGATCTGCTCCCTGGTCTCCAAAGCAGACATTGAGGTCATACTTGGAGGTTGCAGAAGGGAGAGGAAAATACCACCACTCTGGTTCTGTTGACAGAAATAGTTCTGTTAGCAGAACAACTTAATTGGATTTCACCCACATTATGTTCTGATAATTTTGAGTCACATGGAGAAACAGCCAGCCAAATGGCAGTGGTTTTGTCTGTCTTCGGGCTGAAACTTTCTTTCAAAGTCCAGTTACAGTCTGTTTCAGGGACACAGATCTGGCCCCTTATTGGATGATCTGATCACTGGACTGTGTAGCAATGCTGACAGTAACCATATTCTTCTCCTTGGTTGCTTGGAATTTATTTCCCCAGTCTTCTTAGTGTGTTTAGAATATTTTAGAAAACACAAATATTGTACTTTGGGGAATTGCTTAAATAGTTTACCCAATTCTGATTGCAGGATATTTTGCTTGCATTCACATCTTCCTCCCTTTTATGTTGTTGTAGCATTTATACCCTGCCTTTATTCCTCTGCCAGAGAACTCAAAGTAGCTTACATGGATTTCCTCCTTTCTGTATTTGGTACATTCTTCATTTGTTTTTAAAAAAGCATTTGTCATATTTTAAATTCTATTTTATGACCCATCTGGGGGCTTTGATATAGGATGGTATAGGATTGCAATAAATTAATTAAAGAAATGCACATAATTTTCTGAGTTGCCTAATGCTATTTAGAACTAATTTTGTAATGCTATCAAGGGATGACTAAGCGATGGCAAATTATATTCTAAATTTTATCCAAAATGACTAGCATATGCCAAAGCCAAACCTATTAAATTGTAGCTCAGGGTACATTACTGTAGTGAAAAATAATAAACTTAAAGAAGCCACAATTTATCCTAGTTTTTAACAGATGGCAAGCCCTGTTAAGTTTCCAAGGGACATTTTTAGTCATTATGGAGGCCAGACCTGGGTTTGGCTCAGTTCATTTTTGACAAGGATCTGCAGCTAATCCTGGTTCCCAGGTGAGTGCACTTGCAGGATATAAATTTGTTACATCTGTATTTTATAGTTTTTGGTATACATCTGAAATGTAAAGTTGGAGTAGACCTTACAGCTAGTGAGAGTAAGTTTTACTCTGTCTTGTGATTGTTGTTCAGAACATTTGATGAGTGAAAGCTGTTTACACCCTCGTAATACTGTTTGTTTGGATGTTAGACATCAAATGGCAATGAAAAAACCAATAAGCTGACTGCACTGCTGCCACAACGATTCTGCTTTTGTTATGGCAGTGCTGTTAGAACAGCAATAGTAAATGAAATTTTCACTCTATTACTGTGCAGCAGCGGTGGCAAATCCCACGTAGTCTGGAAAGCATTTTGTTTTCTTTTTAACATGATACAAGGTATCAGGTGGTCATGATTGACACTTCTTGGATAGAGCTTTATACAGCATTTCATGCAAATCATGTTTGAATGAGGCTGCTGAATCAAATTACATTTCTCTCCCATTATAGCCCCTGCAGATGCGAAACGGAGCTTCCGCTGCATCTACCAGCAAGTATTCCTTACGAGGGCTTCCCGTTTTCACAACTTGTCTGCATAGTTCTATAATTACAACACTTAGGGTAATGACAGAGTGAGGAGTGTTTTCTCTTACCAGATCTATAAGTGATAGATGTAGCACAGGAGTTCTACCCTACCCCATATGCTGTCAGATAGTGTCAGGCTGGCAGAGGAGAAATGCAATTTAAAATGCAGGTGACATAATAACAAACATCCTCCATTTGCTAGTGGGCTTCTGATTAATCACTATTACCATACATTATCATACCATCAAATTTAATCATATCAGTGAATTCCCATCTGCAGGGGGAGCAGCAGCAGCTAAACATGATGGTAACAGCTATTAAACAAGAGTGGGAAAAAAGACTTCTGAAATGAGGTAGTCCTTTCCCTTGTTGTGCCTTCTCCAGTGTGAATTCGCCTCATAAATGATAGAAATCATGGTACCCTGTTTCCTTGTGATTCCGTTGGGTGTATGACCACCATTTTTACACACACAAATACCAAAATGTCAAACATGCAAACAATTACTCAGCTGTGAAGATTCTGACCCACTGAATCATTGAAACACATGTGACATCAGTCTTGCACTTCGCTCCTCACTATGTCTAAACTACTAGCTTCCGAGTGATGGAAAGTGCTCTAGTAATATAATCTGGGGAGATGATCGTTAGGAGACCTTGCTCGTCTAGCATTTTGCTGTGAGTCTTTCCCGTCAACATGTTGGAATAAGGGCACACTAGCTTTCTCAGAAGACCGGTGAATTGGGATCAAGCAGCAGTGAGTGCCAGGATTAGACTGTGGGAAGATCTAACCATTTCCTAAAATGGATGGAGTCTTTAGGAACGCTTAGCTGCTGGTTACATAGTGAAC